AACTTCCAATTCATTGCGCTCGGCGTCCCCCCCCCCCGCAGAGCAGCGTGAAATTGATAAACAATTTCGGAATGGTCGAGAACAAATATGCCTTTCCATTTTTGCAGCAATTTTTTTGTTGATGGACATCGAATATGCTTTCTTGTAGATCCTTTGGACTCCAGCATGGAATTCCTTGACATAATCGAAAGTCAAGCTTACTTTTATAAAATTGCTCTAACAGTCTGCAAAAAATAATAAGCCAGATCCAGTTCGAAGATTGGAACAACAATCTGCAAATTAACTGAATAGATATTAATCTTACTTCCCGTCTGTTTACATTAAACGCGCATGCGTAAGTAAATGCGCATTGCACACGCAGATGAGCAGCCGTAAAGGTCTTACCGCGCGTCAACTCTAACACAGCGCAGAGTTTGTACCTTGTTTCGATTATAGATTATTCCAGATTATGGGTGTCCGAATTAACGACTTTTGACTGTATTAGGTTGCCGAAAGATTAGTTAGCAACAAATGGCAGCTTTGTGGGAGGGTTAGATGGATAATCAGAGAGTACCCGAAAATCTAATCCCAAATATTATCGGTATCAAATTCAGGTGTATAGCTAATGGTGTGAATAATTGCAAAAAATATATTAATTTTCTCAAAATACATTAACCCTTTAATGGGCCTCCCACCTTTTTTTATCAGTTTTTATCTCTTAGATGAAAGCTGCTAAATTCTGTTTAAAATATATATAATTACACCTTTTAGTTCTCTAAATGTATAACTGATTGCAGCACTAGTATTCATTCATAGAAATAGTGTAAAATAAGAATTCTTTTCAAGTCTAATTTTGAAGCAGTTTTTTTTCTTAATTTCTAATGCAATTTAAATCATCTGAACAACAACTTTTGGTATTAGAATGAATATTTTATGTGAAATTTTTTTTCTATAAAAATATTATTTCATTCAATATATTAATTAAAATGGTTAATTGAAATTGGGACAATCGTCCCACCCCATATAGGAGTTCTAGTACTAGATGGCACACCGTCAAATAGTTTAAATTTAAGTACTGTTTATTTTATATGTTATATGCAAATTTATTTTTTTAATAATTGATAATGTTAAAATTGAAAATTAGTGCTTTTTCCGAAAGAAATATAAATATAACCATGTAACACGAAATGTCATTGAATACTGATTGGATATGTGAGTGTGATTCACCATAGAAAAATATCCTAAGCAGAAGAAAGAGAGGTGAAATGTATATAAACATGACGGCCTTCTATATATCTTCCATTTCAAAACAATATAGGATAGCTGAAAAAAGGTTCTAACTGAATGAAAATTTTTTTGTAAAAGTCATTGCATCACAGTTACCAAGAAATCGAATAATGTGGAGAATAAGATAAATCTCAAAGGTGAGTGGTCGCTTTTAGTCAATGACAAAATACTGATAATATTAGTGTGTTATACAAAGTTTTTTTTTTTTTATGCTGATAGCCTGTGGGGGGGGGGAAATTCTTCCTTGAATTAGATATTGAAAAGAGCTTGAAACTCAAAATACTAATGCTAGTCTGCAGTTTATATGTGGACCACATAAATTTTCTGTACTGTCTGTAAAAATACATTGACAAAAATATTATCCTAGAAATTTTTGGCATAATGTTGTCTTATAAGCATGTCCTTTTATTACAAGCTAGAGCTATCAATGAAGTTAATTAAATCATAAAAAATGTTTTGTGCGTTAAGATACTTCCATGTGTTTCCTTGCAGGTTAAAAAGATAACTGACTAAATAGTTTGTCTAAGAACTGTATTTAATTATTTAATAGTTGAATTATATTTTTACTCAAATTCTGTCAGAGTTTATCTTCTTGATATATCTGCGAGGAATAGAATGTGTGCAAACTTTGTGCTTTATATCGGATGTTGGTTTAGTTAGTTTTGTGTAAAAATTAATTTTTTGGAAAAAGTACGTAGATGCAGTACAAGTGGTAGTCAGAAAATAATTATCATCAGAGAGAAAAGATTTATAATTTATGAGCCAACATGAGATTAATAATTTTTAAAGTAGTTGCATTTTGTTGTGTTAGTAATTAAGTACAGTTCAATTTAGTTTAACAATATCTCATTAACAGTATGCTTAACTCTTTTGTGTTGAACCCCAAAATATTGCCAATAAGATTGCTTTATCTCAGTGCAGCAATATTTCTAGTAGGGGCATTTAATAATGAGTTTGGTAGAGGAAACATCAATTCAAAATGTAACATTGGAGGGGGGACCAATTACATTAGAGAAGTAAATGCTCTGCATGCAAAAAAGTTATTTACAAGAGAAAATTGATGTATTAAAATATTGAAAGTGGTGGGAAAAACTAAGTTTCGAGTAGTATGTAGGTAAATTTTGCGTTGAGTAAAGAGCTTCAAGTAAATTCAGTTCATCAAATGAAGAAGCTTAGTGGATATTTGTAGCAAAATAAAAGTTTAAAGTAATAATATGAGATTGCTGTTTTGCCTGTTTTTTCATTTGGTAATATCGTACAAAGTATGAGATCCAGAATCTTTGGAAGTCCTTGTGATTTCGGATTTTAGATCATCAGTTTAAATCTAGTAAGATGATGTATGGACTTGACAACATTGGGCTTTCACATATTGGTTATTTAGATCAGATAGACAAGTCAGTCAGCATATTGTCACTGATCTTGGTGTGATTCTGTAGCCAGCAGGAGTATGAAAGTGACATGCAGGAATCTCATTTAGTCAGCAGAAAAATCTTGTTTATGATATACCTGCTTATGTTTGTTGAGTATAATATTCTCCGTTTCTGGAGGGGGGTTGCTGGTGATCTCCAGGTCCAGATATTAGATTATTCCAGCTATTGGGTAACTTGATCTCAAATTTTATGCTGTAATTTGAAAGTGAAATTAAATCTTCATGAAGTTTTAAATAATCATCTAAGTAAAATTTACACACTAACTAAATAAAATTTAAGCTGTAACTGATAGAGAATAGCCTACCCAAATATTATTACAACTGTAACACCTACAGAAAATCAGAGTGGAAAGTATTAATGTGATGACTGTTTTCATTGTCTGCACTGAAATATTTAAAAACAGGAACTTATCCTATATTAAAAATTTTTTAAAAAGTAATGTTTTTGTGGGTGTTTGCTTAAACCATTAAAGAATTTGATAAATTGCAAGTACAAAATTTTTTAGTATTTTATAATCTGTGTAATGTTTAAAATATAATTAGATGAGTTATCAAGTAATTTTCAATAATCTCTTATAAACTGGGAACTGACTGAAAATATCAAATCATTCAATGTGTAAAAGGTTACTGTGAAGCTGTAAAAAAGTTAAAAAAAAATTTTTTTTGTAACAGGTAGAATTGTGTAATTGAAAATTTTCTTTATTACGCTTGTATAACTTTGTATATCTACCTCTGTAATAATGAAAAGAATTTCTTTCAGCTACAAATTGTGTTACTTTTTATCCAAAAAAAACTGATGTCCAGGCTTCACACATAACTCCTGCTTTTCCTTACAGAATAGTCTGTAAGGACAATTTGTAAGTAAATGACTTATTTCTGTTTGAAACTTAAGTAACAGCTAAAAGTTAATAAACGATTAGTTATAATTAATACAGCTGCTGGTTAAATAAAGCAGTATTTTATTTGAGATAAAATTTAAATAAAAAATGACTTTATGTATTTGGAACAGTGTTCCATTTTAATTTAAATACTGTTTTGAACATCCTTATTGTTACAGGAATGTCTTGCCCTGGCATTCGGCTTTATTAAGATCTTGAAATGTTGTAACATTTAAAGGTAGATGCCTAAAATTAAACACATACGTTCAAAGATTTACAAACATTTTTTCAAAATTTCATTTCTGTAAATGTTGTGTGTCAGTGTCAAAGCCTGAAATTTCTAACAAAAACCAGGCATGGAAATATAGTAGACTCATGTTTAACTAGTCTGTATAGGAGTCTGGATATACTAATGGCAAGCTAATCCAAAGGTTATAAATCACATGAAAGGGGTATATTTTACTCATCTTTCTGGCTGAAGTTATATGAATTCTATGAATACAATGAATGAATTGTATTTTTTCCTAGAACTGGAAATGGAATTGATTTGTGAAAGAAAAGCCTTGATGAAAATTGTGCCAGAGTGATTCGTGATAAGGAGTCTGTTGTAATTAATACAAAGTTTATATATCTTATATTTTGTTCAATAAATTACAATAATAATTTCTTCTCTGTTTATGACACTCCTTGTTATGTCATGGTTCTGGACATGCTGTGTGGGTGTTGACTAAAATAATATATTATTTAATTAACATTAGGTAAAAATCAATAAGTTTCTCTACTAAAAGGCGAAAATTTTCAGAATTGAAACACCGCTTTTCTTCTCTTGGAAAACTAGAATGTGATATTGAAATAAAGACAAGTGATCAATGCCATTCATGCAATAAAAGTATAAGTGTGAATATTGTAGCAACAATAATTTTTATCACATATTAAAACAAATTTTGATGAAAATTGAAAACTATCTGGTATGTAGAAATTTAAGATAGGACATGTTTTCATATGTAGCATCATGCAGCTGTGTTTTTGAGTGGATACAAAGCACACTATAAACCATCAAGGTGTATGGAAAACAGTGAATAACAAAATAATTTTTAAAAAATGCAAATGATCTTTTTTTTCCAGAAATGGGTTTCAAGCTCAGCGGACCAGAAGACAAATATCTAGACACACAGTAGAGCGCGAAAAATGTAGCCCCCAGTTGAGAATGGGATTACTTCTGACTGTGATGCAGGATATGCATTATTGACCTCTTCGTATTCAGTATGGAGTCATCGATGAGTTCTTGGATTATCATGTTTGAGGAATTTTTCAGAGTGTTGATTGGCAGCTCCAGAAGTGTTGCTGATGGCTGGTAATGTGCTGTCAAGCATTTCATGAGAAATAAATTGCTTAGTTGAGTTTAGGTCCTAACCTTGTAAGTTTTAACAGTTAATGAGTTAATCTATCTTAACAGTCTTGCAAGTTAGGTCTTAACCATGTAAGCTTATCCACGCAGTAAATATTTTCATTCTCTGAAATGTAGTGTTCTCATTAACGATGAGGGGTTCAAGGCCCATGTTATCCCAGAAAGGTAAAGGAAAGAGACAGTGTAACAGTCACCAATGACTGAACAAGCTTGGTAAATATGGAGCTGCTTACAGCCACCATATTCAAGCACCAGCATATTCAAGCACCATACATATTCAAGCACCTCTACCTGATAATGTTAAAATGGCGATTGCCTATTCCATACTTTTTCCAAATATTTAGATTTCAGAATGAATGATGAGCCTAATGGCTATTGTTCCATTTTGCCTTCAAATATTAGAAGAATTAGTGATGGAAATGAGTGTAATAAATTATTCAATGAAACATCTTGTGACAACACAGTTTATTTTACAAATCCTACAAGTGGCAATTTTAGCTTTGACATCTCAAACAACACTTAAAATATAAATGCCGTAATATGATAATACACATTAATTCTCAAATACACCTGGAAAGCAACTTGAAGCCATTTTTTCTCATTTTCTAATAAAAATAACAAGCTCAAAACATAAATGTAAAAAACATCCACTATTGCCATTTGTAATTTTCTAAATTACATCAAACAAAGATAATATTAGATGTTCAACTTGACATCCCCCCATCTATGTTAACTTTATATCTTAAAAATGTAACTTACAAAAGAAAATTGTGAACAGTTCTCAAGTTACAAAAGAAAATTTTAAATAGTTCGCAAGTCCAGTCTCTTAGGTACTTTGATTGTACAACCTGTTCCAGTCTTTTGGATCTGAGTTTCAGGTACACATACGTCATCAGAGGCAAAATTTGAATAAGTTTCGTATTCAACCTTCTTGGTTGAAAATTTCTGTATGATGGGAGCATTGTTAGATACTTCAAGTGGATACAGTCTTTGAGTTGGTCTTAGCAATTGTCCATTAGTTGTTTTAAGCTTAACAAGTCTTGTAATTCCGTCTTTCGCTGGAAGGATCTGAATTATTTTGTCTAGTGGCCGATTGATTCGTTTGGTGTTATCACTTTCTATCAATATATCACCAATATTCACTTTGACAGATTTTCTGTTTTCTGGTTTTTGAAGGAATGCCCTTAGATATTCAGACCTAAACCTGTTCCTTAAATCTCTTTGCAGGTTTCTCTATATTTAACCTGCTTATTAAGACTTTTGTGCTCAATGTGATCAAGATCTGGAACACCACTTATTTGACTGTCTTGCAGAAATATAGATGGGTTTAAAGGCATTAAAGTAGCATCGTTTTCAGTTACATATGTCAATGGACAGAAGTTAATCACTGCTTCACGCTCACAGAGAATTGTAGTCATTTCTTAAGAAGTTAAGGAAGCTTTTCCTAGTACTCATCTTAACAATTTCTTAAGAGTTATGTCAATCTCTCCCACCAGCCTCCCCAGAGGCAGTTGATGGGTTGAACTTCCATTGAATTAGTAGTATAGTTGTGTCATCAATGATTTGTTTCCAGTTTGGATCTTGAAGTACATTTGAAGCACATTTGAAGCACCAGCAAAATTAGTTCTGTTGTCACAGTACATGATTCTACTGTGTCCTCTATGAGCTATAAATCTTCTAAAAGCTAGTAAAAAATTGTCGGTAGACATAGATTCAACCAACTCTAAATGGACTGTCTTGTAAACAGCTCAGGTGAATAAACAGATCCAAGATTTCATGTTGCCTGTCAGGATCACTGGTCCAGCAAAGTCAAATCCACAGATTTCGAATACTGTTGCTTCTCATAGTCTGTCTTCTGAAGATGCAGTATAAGTTTCTTGGTTTTTTGCAGAAAATCTTCTACACACTGCGCATTGATTAATGAGAGATCTCACAGTTTTTACGAGTATTCAGCATCCAGAATCTCTCTCGTAGAATATTTATCAAAATTTGAGCACCAGCGTGTGCACTTTTCTCTTGATATCACACTAATCTTTTGACAATCTCATGATTGGAATAAAGAATAACTGGCATTTTAAATTCTTCTGCATCCTTACGACAGGTAAGTTTAGTTTTCAATCTGAGGATTCGCTTTTGATCCTTGAATATTCCTAAAGTTTTTAGTTTCTCATCTTTTTTATTCACAAAACAGTCTTCTTGAACCATTCTGATCAATGACCTCTCAGTCTAAAAAATTTCATCAGAATCGAGGTTTAAGTGTTTTCTCTCAATTTGTTCAGATCGACAACTGTAGGCGAATCTTAAGATTCAGGTAATTAGATTTGTGCTTGTATAAAATATCTGCAATACCAATCTCTCTTGGTAACCAAGCATGCAGAAACTAGACATTTTGTTACAGATGAAACTGTGCTCCTTTTCTTTTCTCTTAACAATCTCACTCTCATCTAAATTTAAGTCACCTTCTAGCCAATCTTCTTCAGCAAAGTAAAGCCAACTTGGACCTAGCCATCAGTTAGATTTCAATACATTTATAGCTGAACAACCTTTACTCAGGAGATCAGCCGGATTCATGCAACCAGGAATATGTCTCCAAAAATTTTAATTGTTAGTATTCGTATTTCTTTCACTCTATTCTGAACAGAGACATTCCAGGCATATCTTGTTATCAATGTTAAAATAATGGAAGAATCAGTCCAGAAGTAAACTTTGTCACTCTGTATCTCTGATAAAATTGAGGATGAAAGTCATGCTATATAGTAGCTGCAAGTAATTCCGGTTTCGCTATAGTAGTTTCAATCTTTTCCAGTTGGTGCAACTTTACTCCTAGCTTGTATCAGTGGTACTTTTAAGAGAATCAAAAGTTTTTATTTGAATGAAACCAGCCACAGCATAAGCAAACTTACTGGCATTACAGATAATATGTTCTGAAATATTTTCACTTGTATTCCTTGAACCAAACTATCTAGGAAAACAGATTTTTTCTAGTTTATCTCACAGCCATTTTAAAAATGTAGTTCTCATACAGGTATCTTCTTCATTCCATGTTATCTTCTGCTTCCATGTTTCTTGAAGCAGTAATTTAGAGATAAAAATGACAGGACAACATATACGAAGAGGATCAAACAGTCTATGAGCTGTAGATACGATTAACCATTTAGTTACTTTTTCAAAACTTAACTATTTTATACTACCAGTATTTACTCGTAGAGTGTCAGATTGTTTATTCCATATTAAACCGAGCACATTCGTATGAGCAGAACCATCATCATTAATATAACTGAACTCGTACCCTGAAGCTCAGATTTTCTCTTGGCCATTTCTTCAGGTGGTGCATTAATTAAAAGATTGATTTCCTTTTCATTTTTGACACAACTGACACAGTTGTCAACATAGAAACTATGCATAAGATTTTGAATGATACTTTTTGGATATGAGAATAAACCAGTTTCTATTTTTTCTAAAAGTTTGTAAGTGAAGCTGAATAGTAGAGTTTAGAAGAAAAGGGCTGCTTGCTATACCAAAAACTACATGACAGTGACTACCCTTTCACCTGACCATCACTATCAAGCCATAAGAACCTTAAAAAATCTCTATCAAGCCAAATCTCTATCAAGGGTGAAACATTTATAGAAAGCCTTTTCATATATCAGTAATAACACCTATCTGTTGTTTTCGAAATTGTGTTAAAATATTAGGATTCTGTTCCAATAATTTGGACCTTTTTCTAAGCAGTCATTAAGACTAAGAAACCTCGAAGCATCAAATACCGGTCGGGATTTTATAGTACTATTCTCTTTGATAACTTCTCGATGAGGAAGGTAAAGAACTTGACCATGATTGTTTTTAGCAGCCTCTTCAATTTCTCCCTGTTCTAGCCATTCCTTAAAAACATTTTCATAAGCTTCATTATTGGACTCGGTTTTAAGACATTTAACAGTTTCCCTCTTGCTTAAATCAAGATAATCTGGTTGTGGATGATCTTCCAACCAGGGGAAATCAACCTCAAAACGATCATCTATTACATGGACTGTATTTAGGAAATATAATCGAGCAGCTTCTTGCAATTCAATCTGGCTTTTCCTGATTGATGGGTCAGTAAGGCCAAGTGTGTCCAAGGTCCATAAATCTGTTATCGTCTCCACTATAGACAACAGGGACGTGACCAATAATGAACTTCGTCTTGTAAAAATACTAAAATACATTTTAAATCATTTTTTCTCAATTGTACTTTCACTTTGAGCTTAGCTGCACTTCCCACATTGTAGTGAGGGAGCACTATATTACTAAGGGAATGTTAATGTGCTAAACATTAAAGTAAGTATCAAGTCATTTTTTCTCTTACTTTAATGATATCCTATCACTGAAGCAATAAGAGTGTTATGTCTCTACCCATATTTATCTGAAGAAATTAACAGCTCATATACATCAGTTTTACATTACATTGTAAGTTCAGATATGTAATTTGTAAAAAGAAAGTTGTGTTAGAATTATTATCCTTAGATTGGTTGTCTTTTATGGAGGGCAGGTAGAGGAAAGTGTATTGTTTTTCATTTGTGTGCTAGAAAAACCATAAAAACATCAATATATTTAGGCTATTCTGCTAAAAAATTATTCTGGGAGTAGATTACTTCATCTTGTGTAATTTTATGTTCTTACATTATGTGTAATTAAAATTTGCAGTCATATCCATGACCACTAAATAGTTAATGAAACTGTTTTTTTTTTTTTTTTTTTTTTTTTTAAATATTTTTCTGAAAACTGTTTATCTACTGGTATTGTACTGAAAACTGTTTTATCTACTCACTAAGAAAGAGGGTTTGTGATATTTTTAGTTTGTTAAATAAGTAGATGGTACTAAATTGCATTATCCATGTTTATTAAACTGTTAATTATAAATATATCATTTATTTTTGTGGGCTAATTTGAAAATACTATTTAGAATTTCTCTAGAAGTCTGCAGGACAGAAAATCAGGATAATGTAAATGTTGAACAATCTGAACTATGGCTCAAAACATCAGTTTTTCCAAAAGTTGTTAACTGGTCCCAAAACCTGCCAGATAATGCTATTCTTCCCTCTTTGACATTAGTATCTGCAAAGAAATTTAACTCATATTATCAATTTTTGAAACGGAAATATGGAAAAAAGTACATTGAGGTAAGTATAATAATTGCTTTTTCTTTTTTTTTTTTATCTCTTGCTATGTTTTATATGAAGGTTTATTTATTTTTTGTGCTGTTTTAGATGTGGCCAGAATGTTCAGATCCTTTGAAATATGTATATGAAGATCTATCTATTGCTGCTTATTTAATGGTAAAATAAATTTCTATCTTTTCATTTTATTGCCATATTGAAATATGTATATGAAGATCTATCTATTGCTGCTTATTTAATGGTAAAATAAATTTCTATCTTTTCATTTAATTGCCATATATCATTTTTTTTTTTTTTTGTTAGATAGATTGCATGAAAAAAGCAGGGTGAACAATATTCCTTTCATAAGTAAGGGAAATCTTATAATAATTTAAAGCAATGTAACAATGGCATATTGTTTTCAGTAGTAGTGCAATAAGTGCTATTTTCCAAAGAAAAAACTGCTTTATTAATGACAAAATGAAACTTAGAATTCTGGTTTAAATTTTAGGTTAGAAAGCATGACTATTTTGGGGGGGATATGGGTGAAATCTAAAACTAAAAGTGGGGCACATCGTGTTACTTTACAGCATGGGAATTTGCGTTTGAGGTAACGCATACTGAAAGAACTATAGATGTTTGGATTAAAACTATGCTAATAGGTTGTAGGAAAGTAAACTCTGATGTATAACTGGCATTTGAATTTGTGAAAAAAGTTGCCATTTTTCCTCTCTTAAGAAGTGGTCCTTGTGTCTTTAAATCTATAAAAATTTTATCCAAAATCTATGCTGCTCTAAGGTTGCTTTTTTGCTTAATAATACATTAATTATTTATCAAATGGTACACTTTGGATTTCCCTTAAGTATTTCTACCCGGAATGCCTTTAAAGAAAATTATATATTTTTTTAATAGAAACATTTAATAAAAAAATTAGAGCAAAAGTACGTATTTTTAATAATTATATTTTAGGAATGTTCAAAGCAATTCTTTTTTAATACATGCAGGTATACATTGCATTTAAAGGTGTTGGAACCCAATCTTCAAAAAATTGTGATTTGGGGATTTTGCATTTTCAAATCTCTTCACTTTTATCTTTCTAAAATACCATTCTTTAATCTCTATGAAAATTAGAACTGGAAAAAAAATGTAGTTTTACTTCTCACTACTGCTGGACCAAGAGATTTTTACATAAAACTTTTTTCTCCAAACGTGATTTTTTGCTCAATACCTTCTCAGAACTACTGCTCACAGGTATCTAAACTTTTTATGGCTTTTTATTAGGTTCCCTAATAATTACTGGAATGAGCTTTTTGTAATAAACTTAGAAAAAAATTTTAATTTTTTTTGTGGGAGAAAGTGCTAAATTTTATTATGCCTAACAAAATTCTGTAATTTACTCTAAAATTCAAAATGTTTCAAAGCTCATTTCAGTATAATCATATAGGTATACTTTATCAGAAAAAATTTCAAGCTTGTGATTTACAGCGAGGGAGAAAAAGTACATCGAAAATGGCCAATTTAACATTGTCGATATAGGGGTTTCTGATACCCCTTAATATAAATGATTATGGGTTAAGGTTTACTTCCCTCCTTACATCTGGATTTTGCACTGGTATATTAACATAACTTCATTCTATTTATATGTGAGATGTTCATTTGATATTCATTCTGAGTGCTTATGTTTATTAACACTTTTTGATTAATATTTCATTTATATTTTACCTATAATCAGTATTGAAAAATGGGAAATATTTCCTTTTTTGGGAAGGAGGAATGTAGTTTAGTTTCTTTAGAACTTCCCATGTTCATCATCCAGCAGTTGGAGATTACTAAATCCACAAAGGAAGCAAAAGGTCATTCTGACCAATTTTAGTGCGAATTATGCAACCAGATGCAAACTGGAAAACCTATTGCATAAATCAGTTCCTCCTGTGAAAGTATTATAAAAATTTATAATTGCAGGTTGTGACACTAGAATTTCTTTGGTTTTATTCTTTAGACCATTTAAGAAAACCTATAACTGATTTACTACAAGTGTAAGTTGAAAGTATGAAATTCATTTGTTATTTTTCCATTTTCCAATGTGTATTTTAACGTCTGTTCTTACTCACTAATCTCATTCTCCATGTGTAAAATGCTTGTCTTGCTTCAGCTTTTTTTTTTTTTTTTTTTTTTGTGCTTCTCTTATTCAGTTGTTCATTACTGTTCCTGCTTGATATATATCATTCTTTAACAAACAGCTTAATAACTGTCACTATAAATAACTTGAGTAATATCTTTAGGAACATACTATGGCAGTCTTTTAACAAGACTTGCCCTCAAACAGTAATTGTTCAAATTTTCAAAATTAAATAAAATATTCTAGGCTGACACTCTAAAACCTCATTTAAATATAAATGAAATAGAACCTTTCACTGGTGACCAATCTGCTTCATCAGCAATAGCTGGAAATGATGGCTAAATGAAGGTCCTTTACTTTTATTGCTTTCTGCAGGTTATCTATACTTCTCAGAAACCTAGGTATATGATAGGTTGAAAGGAAGGTGTGTGTTACTCTAGTAACAATTTATGGATTTGTTGATAATTTTGTCTTTCTCCAATTCAGCTATTGAGTTTGTATGCTCCAGGGAGTATTTAACCAAAGCTTTGCAATTTTCGTTGATATACTCGTTTTTTAGCAGAGAGTTTGTAAATATCATTTTTATGATAGGCAATTCATAATGATAATTTTCTAGATATCCAACTGATATATTGAGTTTCTTTGTTTGAATCTTCATTGGGGATCAGGGTAGTATATACCCCTAAAGTATTTGTTTGTGGTCCCGTTTGTACCACTTCTGATAGCCATTTTGTTGAATTGTTGAAAAACTTAATAGTAAAATTTTAAAGTTTAGGAGACATGAAAAATAAGTTATGCCCTTGCCAGGGCTTGAACTTTAGACCTTCCAATTGCTAACCAGATGTGTTTTACAGTTACACCACAAAAGCACAGAGGAAAGAGGGAGATAAACTTACATTCTTCCCTATATAAACATTGATAGGACCTAGCCACCAAATCTTCATGGGGACAAAATTACCCTCCTCCACCTTTTAGTTTGGGCACCACTGTAGAGTCTATTTGGTTTGTTGAGGCAACAGATGTGAAAAGGGATATGGCTTTCTTGGTAAAATATTCCCTTCAAAATATTTCTTTTTCCAGCTCATGGTGGGCCAGCAAGTGATTATACAGTCAAAAGTCATTAATTCGGACACCCATAATCCGAAATGATCTATAATGTGGACCTCAAAGCTAAAAACTTTCTGCGCATGCGTCGCGTTGACGCCTGCGTGTAAGACCTTTACGGCTGCGAATATGCATGTGCGCATGCGCAAAATACCTTTATGCATGTGCGTTTAATGTATAATGGACGGTATAAGGTAAGCTAAAATTATCTAATTCAGTTAATGTTGCAGATTGCGCTGTTCCTTAATCTTCGAATTGGATCCGGCTTATTATTTTTTGCAGACTGTTAGAGCAATTTTAATAAAAGTAAGCTTGAACTTTCGATTATTTTAATAAATCCGATATATATTTACTAATATGTAAAGGATCTACAAGCGAAAGTATGTTTCGAAGTCCATTAAACAAAAGTGGAATTGCTGCAAAAAATTACCTAACCATTCTGAAACCTGTTTATCAATTTCACGCTGCTCTGCGGGGGGGGGGGACGCTGCGGCGCGCAATGATCTGTCAGCACTATCCTTATCTTCAGGGCAGATGTTTTCATTTTATTTGGCTTATAATTCCTTACTAAATGTAGTATTTCATCTCGATGTATTCCGTCTTTGATATGATTTAAATCAAATTCCTCGACATTATAATTTGCTTCCGATAGTGAAGAAAGTGACACAGAGGTTATTGAAAACGAAAAAATTTCGATTGACAAATTAGTCTGTATTCTCGACACAGCAATTATAGGACTTGAACAGCGGAACTTTGTAACTGAACAAGAAATTATGTCCGTTTATAGAATTAAAGAAAAAGTATTACCACATAAAATGAAGCAACTTAAACAACTTACATTGAAAGAAATACTCAGAAGTCAAGCAACAAAAATCAGCGTTATACCTACAAAATTTTCACAGGACTAGTTTTTGATGGTTTACCGAACCATCTTCAGCTGCAAAACCGCAAATGAACAAGATAGGAAATAATAGATAGATACGAAAGCCTGGACAAGAATAAGCAAGTGGCGCCATCTGTTGGCGAAACCAAACTAAAACATTAATTTCTCTAAAAGCCGAAGGTGGATGGATTGGAATTAGGATCGTTAACTAGAACAGAAAGATTTTAATGTGAAATGCCTCTAGAAAATCCAGTTCTCTCAATGGAAGATGTTTTTTGAATAATTTGGCAGCAGAAAATGAAAAGTGTGATTTCGGACCAACAAGGGAGCAACAGAAGACTTCTGTTTTCCTTTTTTCTAACATATGCCATGTTCTTTGCCGAAATTTTAAGGCTCTCTATTGGCCATGTAAATTAAACCACTGGCAAGGAATCCTATAAACCCCAGAATTCATATCCGAATGGGGTCCTTGAGTATGAAGTTGGAATTTATTGATGGAAATAAACAACCCGAAAGTTAAATTTCTTCTGCAAATATGCAACTTTATAGCAATTGATGAAAGAAGGGAATGACACAGAATTTTTATAATCTCCTAAAATAAGAGTGTGGCTTTAGTGGTGTTGAGATGAAATTTTTTAACTGTTTTGGTATAATTTTGGGTGAAAAGCCCCTGTCAATAGCTATTGCGTTTAATAATTTAGTTCTTCATCAAGGGCTAGTTTGGAGGAGCAAACTTGAAGAGCACGGAAACATAGGAATAAATGAAGCTAACTTGTTAGTCGGATGACATGATAAAGTGTGGTGGAAGGCAAAACCGATGAAGGTTTACGGTAAACGTAGACTGAAGTTGGATGTGTTACTGTGACCAGAATGTCGAGAAACGGAGAGAAGGGCGTCTCAGGTTCAAAAGTGAACTGAATAAGCAGAAAGAGAATTCATTGTTGAAAGAACTATTTAAATCACCTTATTACCTTCAAACGGGTAAAAGATCGTCTACGTAGCGGAACCATGCGGGAAGTTTAAAGTTTCAAACAATTTTGAATTCAGATAATGCATGTAGATATCAGCCAGATG